AAAAAAAAAAAAAAAAGAAAAAAAAAAAAAAAAAAAGAAAAAAGTAACTTTTAGTATTTAAATAAAATATTAATGCTCTTATTCTCTCTGCTCCGCCATTTTCACAATGTGATACCCTGCCATCAGTGTCACCACCACCAAGACCTTCACCAGGTGTGCTCCCTGGGCTTTGGACTTCCCAGCCTCAGAAACTGTAAGCAATACATTTTGTTTTTATTTATTAAAAATAAATAAGTAGTATATGAATAACAAGACCCTTTAAAAATTAATGCAAAAATGTATTACAGAAAATGCTTATGTCTACATATACATAGGAAAATGTTATATAAAATATGATCAAACAGTCTCCAGTTGCTGACTAAAAATAATACATGATGAACAAATATAATTTATACCAGGAATGCAGATAAGATTTAATATTAGGGAATTCACTAATGCAGTTCATCCTAGATATAGAGATAAAGATAAAAATAGGGTGGTCATATTTATAAGTACAAAAAGAACTACTGGCAGAATTTAACAAGGATTAAAAAAATATCTCAAATAAACAGCATACTTTTAAATGAAGGACTAGAAAAAGAAGAAACAAAGCCCAAACTTAGGGGAAAAAAATAATAAAGGTGAGAGCAGAAATAAATAAAGCATAGATTTGATGAACAATATTAATAAAATTCCTAGCACCTAGTGACATCGTACAATCATGACGTCACAGTACCATGCATTACTTACATCTTTGCAGTGATGCTAGTGTGAAGAAAACAACTGTGCTGCCAATCCTGTAAAAGTGTAGCACAATTATGTACAGTACTTAATACTTGATAATGACAATAAACAACTATTTTATTGGTTTATATACTTACTACAGTATACTTTTTATCATTATTTTAGTGTGTACTCCTTATTTAAAAAAAAAGTTTAAGGTAAAACAGTATGCCATGTTATGCTGGCAGCAGCCTCATACTCCTCGTGCATACTGCATCTATTAATTGCATCATTTTCTCCCATTTGTTATTTAATCTCATGCTATTTTGTTCATCATGGTTCCTAAGCATACAAAATTCACTGCTAATGTTGCCAGAAAGACACCATGTTGAGCAATTGACCTGGAAACAAAATTTAAAGTGATTAAGAACCGCAAAGGTGGAAAATCAGTGATGGTTATTGCTCACTAGTAAGACATCTCATTTCACCAAAGCTGCAATCTGGAAAAATAAGAACAAAGTGATAAAAACTATTAAAAGATCTGCTTCATCAAAAGCAATGAGACTAACAAAAATTTGACAAGGGCCTATATTGCACATGGAGAATCTTATAATGTACTGGATTGAAGACCAGACACAGAAGCACATCCCTCTCAGCACCATGATGATCATGGCCAAAGCAAAATGTTTCTTTGTGATGTTGAAAGAAGAGGCTGGATCTGACTACAATGTTGAATTTACTCCTAGCTCTGGGTGGTTTAAATAATTGAAGAGTCACTATTCATTACATAATACGGGTGATGAGTCTGCTGATGTGAAGGCAAATGAAGAATTTCTGGAAACTAGATAAGCTGATTGTGGAAAAAAATTACTTTCCAGAGCAATTCTTTAATACCCTTGAAATGTCCTTATTCTGGAAATGGGTGCTTGCAAAGACTTGTATCTATAAGGAGGCTAAGTTATTGCC